TTTTCTCTTTAGTGTGGCAAAGAAACCTGACAATTTTTGGGGGGGACTTCAAACTGGATTTTCAGCAGAGGGCACTCTGCTGTAAAGAAAGTTATTCAGCATTGTAACAGCATCTCAGTGATTAAACAAACACCCTCTTATTTGGGACTATCAAAGAAGATTTGAAATTTCCTTTCTTATTTTAGTCATGGTGATAGACTAAGAGAGATAGAAAAAGGTAAAGTTGGTCTTAAGTCAAGACTGATTGATGACTGCATCTGTGTCTTTTTATAGTTTGCTATTGTCATCTTCCACGATGATTTTGCGTTTCTTTGCTTTACTAGGAGCCCTGGAGCATCTAGATGTCCCTTCAAATCAAAGTAAATCTTTATTATGATCATAGATCAACATAAGGAGGGTGAGGTTCAATCAATTAAAAAGTATAGAACTGTGGTGGCGAACCTATGGCACAGATGCCACAGGTGGCACACAGCCCTTTCTGTGGGCATGCGCGCTGTTGCCCCAGTCCTACGCCTTCAGTGGGGTTTTATAATACCTTTTCGCTTTAGGCCTCTGCCGCCGTGTGCAAAAAAAAAAGGTTCAATCAATCAATTTCAACTTCTCATAGGAAAAAAAAAGATCTCGCAAAGTTGGAATTGATTGATTGAACTTTTTAGTCCCACCCAGTCTGCCGTTACCACTGCAGCCATGCCCACTCAATAGGCCACACCCACCCAATGGGCCACGCCCACCTGGCACCCAACAATACACAAATGTGTTTTGGGTTGCAGTTTGGGCACTCGGTCTCTAAAAGGTTCGCCATCACTGGTATAGAAGATACATCAGAGATTAAAAATGCATGAAAATCTAGAAGATATAAAATATATTGTATGTATTAAAATAGAAAGTAAACAAGAGTCTAAAAGAACTGAAAAGGAGAGGAAAGAGCATTAGATGGTTGTAGGGGAGCATACAAAAGGAAGACTATATCAAATTACAGAGCACTCTAGTATGGTGAATAGGATGCTCATTAAATCTAGTTGATGGCACAGGTCAACATCCAACAAAATTTAAATACTGCTGAATAGAACCTGGCAACATTGTATGTTGTAGTAAGGTTGTTATTTGAAAAAAACAGGGAGGTGTACAATTGCCCTGTGTACCTTGGGTAGTGGCTTATAATTAGCAGGATCATCCTTATTCCCCGGGTGTTAATGCAGGTAAAGAATGAGGCCAGATTGGAAGTTCAGAAGTCCAAGTTGTTTTTAATGGCCTCTGGAAGTATTAGGTCTTCCCCCATAATCTTCCCTGGTCTTAATTGATCAACAGAGTTCTTGATCTCTATCACTGTCACTGATGCCCGCGTTGTCAGATTTTCTACAGTTTAGCCAGGGCATCCATTTTCAATGGAGGTGAAACTCTGTGAAGAGTTTCTGAAAGTATATCTCCCATATCCCGGAAACTGGGGGTGAGGAATGTGACAGTCAAACCTGAATGGAACATTCCTTTGGAAGGCTTGATGTGATATGGCAGAATGAAGTTGAGTCATTGGATTTGACTGCCTGAATAAGCTGTGCCCAGATGTTTTTCATGGCTTCCTTTTCCTTGCATGCCAGCAGTTGTTTGTAGTATCTTTTCTGCTGGAGGTGGTATTTGCAGTATCAGATACATAAGCCTATTAATAGTATGAAGTGCTTCTTTTTTGGCAGTAACACAGTCCTTTTCAAACCATGGCTTGGTTGTTGTCTCAAAGGTGCACTGTTAAGATGAGTTTGATCCTGGTAAAGTTCTCTGGTAAGGGGGTTACAATTCTGCAAGAGTAGATTAGGAGATGGCTGATGTCAGGAAAGACTGAAGACACTGTAGGCAATCTGAGGTCACATAGCTCAGTTATCTTTTTGATGGGGGATCCACTTGATTTGGCAGTAGATTCTTCCTGTTGGCATTAGAAAGAGTTGTTGGCAGTCTTCAGTATGTGTTTCTTGAGTGAAGACATTTAACTGGAGCAGGATCGGGAAATGATTGCTGGCAAACTCAAGTATAACTTCTAGGGCCTTAGCATAAGGGAGAAAATCCCTAGAGACAATTATATAGTCAAAGTACTCATTCTGAAGCCAGATAGATAAGTGAATTTAGCTGGATGGTCACTTTCAAAGGCACCATTAAAAATGTGGAGATTTAGCCCAAAGGCTTTTTGACCCAATCAGAGACATGCAAAGTTTGATTTCTGATCTTTTGAACAACAGATGAGGAGAAATTCATTAGCTTCAGGATTGGGAAGGGACATTTGTGGTGTGCATAGAGGGTGTGATCATTGGGCCAAATCTAGCATTGGGCATGACTACAGTATAAAGTCAGCAGCATCAGCACCACAAGTCTCTAATCTAGGATATCTGCTTTACTGAGAACATAATAAGCATTTATTATCAACAGGCATGATGGTTTAATTGATTAACATTGGTATTCATATGGTTTGAATGGGGGGAAGGGTCTTGATATGGCATGTACCAAATGCTATCAGATCTTCAGTACTTTCCATTTTTGAGTAGTTTAAAGATGTTCAGATTTGTAACCAACCCCGCCCCTTTCTTCAAAACAGCCTAAGAAACAGGATGAAAATACCTTGAGTCACTCATCAGCAGAAGAATGTGTATATCTCATATACTGAATAAAGTAGTCATGAAATTAGTAATAAAATTTTACTTGATTTTTATTTTCATAGACTATTGCTAAATTTGAACGTTTGAATTTCTAGTATCTGTTGTATTGCAAGTTGCATCACTGTATTGCATTGTTCATTCAGCCTCTAAATAAATTAATAGTTAATAAACAAGTACCGTTATGTACACTGACCATAAAATAACATATAACAACAGCAACAACAATAATAATAATAATAATAATAATAATAATAATAGAGTTGGAAGGGATCTTTGAGATCTTTAATCCAACCCCCTGCTCAGGCAGGAAACCCTATACCATTTCAGACAAATGGCTGTCCAGTCTCTTCTTAAAAACTTCCGGTGTTGGAGCATTCACAACTTCTGGAGGCAGTTGTTCCACTGGTTAATTGTTCTAACTGTCAGGAAATTTCTCCTTAGTTCTAGGTTGCTTCCCATCCATTGCTTCTTGTCCTGCCTTCCGGTGCTTTGGAGAATAGCTTGACTCCCTCTTCTTTGTGGCAACCCCTGACATATTGGAACCCAGCTATCATGTCACCCCTAGTCCTTCTTTTCATTAAACTAGACATACCCAATTCCAGCAACCGTTCTTTATATGTTTTAGCCTCCAGTCCCCTAATCATCTTTGTTGCTCTTCTCTGTACAGTACTCTTTCTAGAGTCTCAACACCTTTTTTACATTGTGGTGACCAAAACTTTTACATCATGGTGACCAAACATTTAGAACCTTCTGTGATGTTTTGGAAAACAGACATCTTGATTTGACTCACTTTAGAACAATTTCTTTAGTTTGAATTTGACTGATAACTTTGCATCAAGATCATTCAGGTTAGCTTTCAGTTTAAACATTAATTGCAGGGAAGGAAATGAAACTAGTTTTGCTTAAGTTTGATACATGGACATGAAATGAATAGGCACAATTCATCATTATTTCTGGGGTGGCTGATCATTTCCAACTGAAGATAAAAGTGTGGGAAGAAGGTTGCTGCTTTTAAATTGTGATTGCGGACTATTTTTTCTGAGTGCTGAAGTCACAATATCAGCAGATAATGCATAGAGATTTGTACAAAAACAACACCTAAAAATGTGGGACAGTTTTAGGAATAAAGCAAATACAGCAAAAATAGAGCAAAAATAAAAATCAAACAATAGTCTTATAAATATTTAACACTTTTAAACGACCCTGCTAAGAAGAGGGACTTGTAGAGAGCACAGAAGTATAAATATCATTTCAATGAAGCTTACTCTGCACTATGGTTAGAGACCTGTAGTACAAAGATCCTGTGTGACTAAGAAGATAGATTTGTCAGTCACAAAAGAACATCTCCAATTCTTCCTCCTTCATTTATTCTCACCGATGTTTCCTTTATATTAAAACTTTGGGAAAGTAGTACTGGAAATTATGCAGGCACATTAGCTCTGCTTGCCTTTGATTTTCCAAATTCTTCACAAAATATCAGAATGATCCAGATTCACAGCATGACAATGTAGAATTATTTTTTCTTCACTTTGGCAGAATCTTGAACTATCCAAAGTCTAATGAAGAACTAACCTGATTCCAAAGTATTTCCCTAAGACTCAGCTGTATTATTTGATTTAGATCAAAGTATAAAGCAAGATAAAGTTTTGTTCAAATCAAATTTGTTTCCTCATGGTAAAATAAATGATTTGCCCTTATATTCTTCTGAAATGTGTTTTCAAATAACCTGCAGCTCTGTAATTTCTAATTTCTAGGTGGTCTGCCATTTACATATTAACTAGTTCTGATCCTGGATTCCAATCCCAGATCAATGTACATTGGGTGACTTTGGGACAAATAGGATATCATAATAAAACCTACTCATGAAGGCAGCTGTGAACAGTGAAGTGAATAACCAGGAAACACATGCTACTCAAGAGAAAAAAGGCTTGAGACATACAGTATATTCAATAAGAATATTTAATATGCTCCTATATAATTATACAAGACCATAAAGAAACATATAAAAAGATGGTGTCCATATGGCGCCATATGGCACCATAATTAATTTACAGCAGTGTAATGAGTTCTAAGGTTCCAGTCCAGTCTAATCTCAATTGTATAAGGCGATCCCTGCTGTCTTGTGAGACCTTTTCAATTCTGCAGCTGTTAGAAGAATAAAAACGTTTCACTAACATTTCATGCATCATAGCTGTAGTCTGTGTTTTATAGGACGTAGACTAGTTTTGTAGATGGCATAGAATTTTTGTTTCTGATGACCATATGCTGGATTCATGTGGATGTTCCATAACACAGCTTTTCTAGGGTGTTTTGGCCCATTGATATATAAGCTAATCGTGGATCTTTTCTTTTAAATTGCAGCTCATTACAGCTACCTTGGATGGCAAATTGCAATTGTTTCTACCCTGATAATGATCAGACCTGGCATCTTTGGTTTTCCTGCATCGATAATTAAACTTCTTGAAAGAAAAAAAAAAGATATATAGCTGAGCATGGTAACTGGGCAAGCTGTATAGCATATTTTAATTAAATAGAGTCTTCCAGATTTGTTCTACTATTTGTCAACCAACTGGGATTTGCTTAAAAAAATAATTTTACTGCTGGAAAAGCAGCTTCACAGGTGATACCAAATGAAAGATTTTAAATATTTTGTGTACTTAGATTATTTTTAGCTCAAGAGTTAAATTTCTGTAGTGTATAAATTTCTAATGTGTTTTACTGATATTTTGGGTGGTTGTTTCTATAACCATCCTTTAACCATTCTATAATTTTTTATTATTACACAGATTAAATAAAACTTTTGCTCTTCAGTTGCTTGCTAACACCTAAACCTCAATAATAAAGAAACAGTCTACTCATTCCTTTTGCATCTTGATTTAATTATAGAGACCATCTGATATGTTAAGAATTTCCTTTGGATTTGGAAATGCTAGCAATATTTTAATAGATTTCATGTACCTTTGATTTTATGTGGTCAATAGACACTATTATGCAATGCATTTCTCCTTTTCCTCTAAAAATTCTTTAGTTGTCTAATAATATATGACTCTTTTTAAAAAAGAATCATAGAAAATGCCACTTTCTCAACAAGAGTGTTAAAATATCAGTAAGGATAGGTATTTTTTGCAGGATTTTTAAAAGTTAATGTTTAACTATGCTTAATGTTCTTTCATACAACTGTAAATCTCCTGGAATAAAGTAAAATAAGTTAATAAAGTAAAATAGATAAAAATAATAAATAGTTTCACCATTCTCAGAACTATAAGAATGGAAGCTCAATCAAAATAAAGGCCACTATGATTTAAGACACATTTATTTCACTATTTATACTTTCCATAATATGGAAACAAGTGGTCATTGGATACAAATTCTTCAGTAAATTAGTCAGAAGATTTTTAAATAATATGGTGTGAGTGATCAAAATGTGTTTAGTTAATTGTGGATAATTATAATACTTATGAAATATTTAATTAGATGTAATGTATATTAAAATAAATCCTGCTGATAATAATAAAAAAAGCTTGATGGGATCAATATCCAATATATTATTTTTATAATGGCAAGCAGCAATTTGTTATGCTTACACTAAGAATCCTTATAGATTACATGTTTAAAAGAAATATTCTGCCATATGAGAAGGAATATAGTCTAATATTTGACATGTAGTTACAAAATAAGCCTTTTGGTTCAATCTTCAAAGGCATCCATACTTTTAGCAGTATGATTGCCGAAAGCACAGATGCCTCTGAAAGAGTAGATCACCAGTAGAATATTGCTTGATAGGAATTCTCCTGCTGTTTATAGTGAATTTAAACCTTTATATAATACTTGAATAGGGATAGACCCCCTCCCTTTATGCAGAATAATGGTCTGTAGTGGCATAGGAGAAGGGGTGAAGCTGCTGTAATAATTTCTGCTTCTTCAGCTATGGCCCCATTCCCATTTTTTTAGAATTCTCATTTCTCCTTTTCAATATTATCTGCCTCTTTGTCTCTATTCTGTCTCTCTCTTTGTGTCTAAAGGATAACTCCTTATCTGAAAAGTAATATGAAATATTATATTCCATAAATACAGTACCAATCGAAATGTAAAAGAAGCAGCTGAAGTTGCAGGTTGCTATGCAAAAGGTCCTTAAGTTTGTTGTACAATTTAATGAATCTATTTATCAAAGTCAAATTTCTGTTTTTCCAAACAATGAGTGTAAATTGCTGCATTTGATAGGCTATTCAAGTTGAACTGTCTTATCATTGAGCTAACCGACAAGGTTTCTGCAGTTTTGTATTTAAATTCTTTATGTCATGTTTGTACAGGAGGGAAAATTTGTTTCACTTAAAACTGTGAGTGATGGATCTTCTTCAGTGGATAGATACCATTTACCATCTGTTGGGTGTATTTAACTTTTTTTTGCTGACTGATCAGTATGGCAAAGAGTCAATGCAAATTAGCACTTGACAAAATCCTGTATTGAGGAAATAGCTAGTGCATATAGTAATTACAAGACTAGATGATTTTCATGGAGATCTCTCAAGGCAGTCCAACAATCAAACATCCAATGCTGACACCATAAGAAAACCATTTAAAAATAAAAATGATCAACAGATGAGTAGCTGTTAGTTGAAAGCTAGGCAATCAGATCACAGTCATGTACAATCTAGACATTTCTCATGGCTCATGTATAGTTGTAGCTGTATTTGGACAATCTTACAAGACTTATTACAAGACTAACTGCTGCCCCTCTGTTGATCATTTTTTGTTTTTAAATGGTTTTCTTCTTGTGTCAGTGTTGGATGTTTTGATTATTGGACAGTATGAAATCCCTTATGAAATATACACTGCAAAAAATGCAAACACATAGACACAGGTGCAGACAAATTGATCAGATCAATAGTTTATTTCTGCAATTGTTCAGACTCCAGATGTTTTGGTAATTTTTTAAAATTCTCACATTGAAGAAAATTAATTAAAAAAAAACCTGTTCCAAATTGCTAGATTTCTTTGCCAATGGTCCCACCATCACAATAAATTGTTATTTCTGATTATTCTACTATGTGGCTCTTGTGTCATCATTGCTAATTTTCTACTTCCAAGTTTTCCATTTTAGGTCTACCTCTTATTCGTTATCTAGAAATGTCAAATTATGTTGATGCCATGTGCAAAACCACTTGTATGTACAATATGTACCATGAAGCAAAACTAAAAAACTACTGGTATGTCCAACCTTAAATCAAGGCAAACTTTATTACAGGTTATTGACCCAGATTTCATTTAAAAAAACATAATGCATTTATGTAATACCAGGTACAATGGGATATGACAACAAATCATGATAGAAAGGCCTGTAGTTGCCCAGAGCCTACTTTGCTGTCAACACATTCTGCAGGCCAAAATGTAAACTTTGCAACAGCAAGATTTATCTTGGAATCTTTACTGTATCTGCCAAAAGAAGCTGCATTTTTGTCTGAGATGTGGAAGGTAGACAAAGCCACTTAATAACAATAGAAAAGTACTATGCATGATTGAACCTTATATAATGGCAAACTCAAGGGAAAGTATTTGGTCATCTCAAGTCAATTGAATATATTGCATAACTTATAATTAACTGACAGCGGTATATTTTTCTGAGTCCTGGAATGTTTATTTCTAGCAATGGGTGGCTTGTAGTAAGCACTGTGGTTCTGTAATGAAAGGGATTACAGGGAACGATGAGATAATTTGTATGCTATTCTAATAAATTATTTGTTTTGTGTTTTGTTCCTTTCACAGAATTTATTCAGTGCCACCACTGGTATGCTCTTGACTGATTTTTTAAAAGCATTTAGACAGATGGCTTTCACCACTGGAATTTTGTTTTTTCCTAAAGTCCTATTTCTTGATTCCATCTTTACTGAAAGTCATTGTACTGTTTTAAGACCAACCTAGATGTGAGAGTAGCAGAATGTAGATATGAGCTACCCAGATATAAAATTGGGAGCAAGATGCAATTGTAATTAACTGTGCCACACCTTTTTTCCAGCCTACATGAGATTTGTTGTTGTTGTTGTTAATTGCGAAGTCGTGTCCGACCCATCGCGACCCCATGGACAACGTTCATCCAGGTCTTCCTGTCCTCTACCATCTTCTGGAGTCCATTTAAGTTCACACCTATGCTTCAGTGACTCCATCCAGCCATCTCATTCTCTGTCGTCCCCTTCTTCTATTGCCCTCAATCTTTCTCAGCATTAGGCCCTTCTCCAGTGAATCCTTCCTTCTCATTAGGTGGCCAAAGTATTTGAGTTTCAACTTCAGGATCTGGCCTTCTAAAGAGCAGTCGGGGTTGATCTCTTCTAGGACTGACCGGTTTGAACGCCTTGCAGTCCAGCACCATAGTTCAAAGGCCTCAATTTGGCGCTCAGCCTTTCTTATGGTCCAACTTTCACAGCCATACATTGCAGCTGGAAAAACCATGGCCTGGACTATACACACTTTTATTGGCAGGGTGATGTCTCTGCTTTTTAGTATGCTGTCTAGATTCGCCATAACTTTCCTCCCCAGGAGCAAGCGTCTTTTAATTTCTTGGCTGCAGTCCCCATCTGAGGTGATCTTTGAGCCCAGAAAAATAAATCTGTCACTACCTCCATTTCTTCCCCATCTATTTGCCAGGAATTGAGAGGGCCGGATGCCATGATTTTGGTTTTCTTAATGTTGAATTTCAAGCCAACTTTTGCACTCTCCTTCTTTACCAGCATCAAGAGGCTGTTTAGTTCCTCTTCACTTTCTGCCATTAGAGTGGTATCATCTGCATATCTTAGGTTGTTGATATTTCTCCCCGCAATCTTAATTCCAACTTTTGATTCATCTAGCCCTGACTTTCTCATGATGTGCTCGGCATATAAGTTAAATAGGCAGGGCGACAGTATACAGCCTTGCCGGACTCCTTTTCCAATTTTGAACCAATCATTGGTTCCGTGTTCGGTTCTCACTGTTGCTTCTTGACCCGCATATAGGTTTCTCAAGAAACAAATGAGATGGTCTGGTACTCCCATCTCTTTAAGAAGTTGCCACAATTTGTTGTGATCCACACAATCAAAGGCTTTTGCATAGTCAATGAAGCAGAAGTAGATGTTTTTCTGGAACTCCCTAGCTTTCTCCATGATCCAGCGTATGTTGGCAATTTGATCTCTAGTTCCTCTGCCTCTTCAAAATCCTGCCTGTACTTCTGGTAGTTCTCGATCCACATACTGCTGGAGTCTAGCTTGTAAGATTTTAAGCATAACTTTACTAGCATGTAAAATGAGTGCAATGGTGCAATAGTTTGAACATTCTTTGGCATTGCCTTTCTTTGGAATTGGAATGTAAACTGACCTTTTCCAATCCTGTGGCCACTGTTGAGTTTTCCAAATTTGCTGGCAAATTGAGTGTAGCACTTTTACTGCATCGTCTTTTAAGATTTTGAATAGCTCAGCTGGAATACTGTCACCTCCACTAGCTTTGTTGTTGCTCAGATTTTCTAAGGCCCATTTCACTTCACATTCTAGGATGTCTGGTTCGAGGTCAGTGACCATCTCATTGTGGTTATCTGGGATGTTAAGCTCATTCTTGTATAGTTCTTCTGTGTAGTTTTGCCATCTCTTCTTAATCTCTTCTGCCTCTGTTAGGTCCTGCCATTTTGGTCCTTTATCATGCCCATCTTTGCATGAAACGTTCCCTTCATATCTCCAATTTTCTTGAAGAGATCTCTGGCCCTCCCTATTCTGTTGTTTTCTTCTATTTCTTTGCACTGTTCATTTAAGAAGGCATTCTTATCTCTTCTAGCTACTCTCTGGAATTCTGCATTCATTTGGGTGTATCTTTCTCTTTCTCCTTTGCCTTTTGCTTCCCTTCTTTCCTCAGCTATTTGCAAAGCTTCCTCAGACAGCCATTTTGCTTTCTTGCATTTCTTTTTCTTTGGGATGGTTTTAGTTGCTACCTCTTGTACAATGTTGCGAACTTCCATCCATAGTTCTTCAGGCACTCTGTCTATCAGATCTAATTCCTTAAATCTATTTGTCACCTCTACTGTATATTCATCAGGAATATGATTTAGTTCATACCTGAGTGGCCTAGTGCTTTTCCCTACTTTTTTCAATTTAAGCCTAAATTTTGCAACGAGAAGCTCATGATCTGAGCCACAGTCAGCTCCTGGTCTTGTTTTTACTGACTGTATAGAGCTTCTCCATCTTTGGCAGCAGAACACATAGTCAATCTGATTTTTATGTTGACCGTCTGGTGATGTCCATGTGTAGAGCCGTCTCTTGGGTTGTTGGAAAAGAATGTTTGTTATGACCATCATATTCTCTTGACAAAATTCTATCAGCCTGTGCTCTGCTTCATTTTGTACTCAAAGGCCAAACTTGCCTATTATTCCAGTTATCTTTTAGCTTCCTACCTTAGCATTCCAATCCCCCATGATGATAAGGACATCATTTTTTGGTATTAATTCTATAAGGTGCTGTAGGGCTTCATAGAACCGGTCAATTTCATCCTTTTCAGCACCAGTGGTTGGAGCATAGATTTGGACTATTGTGATATTGAATGGTTTGCCTTGGATTTGAATTGAGATCATTCTGTCATTTTGGGGGATTGTATCCCAGTATTGCTTTTCCTATTCTTTTATTGACTATGAAGGCTACTCCATTTCTTCTGAGGGATTCTTGCCCACAGTAGTATACCTGATGGTCATCTGAGTTAAATTCACCCATTCCTGTCCATTTTAGCTCGCTGATTCCTAAGATGTCGATGTTCAGTCTTGTCATCTCTTTTTTGACTACGTCTAGCTTGCCTTGATTCACGGATCTTACATTCCAAGATTGACGCATAAGTGCCAATACATCTTTCAAGAATCAACAGAGTTCTTATAGTCTTTCCTCTAAGCATTCTTCTCTCTTTGGTTAATGGAGTGATAATGGGGAAGAACCAGAAGCCCCAGTTGTCGATGTGAAGCCCCCATTGTTGGAGAGAAAATGCTTCGGTTTATATACCATTTTTGTTCTTAAACCAGATGTTTGTCCCATAACCTGTACAGTTTATATGCGATTGGGACAGTCAGAATTATACCAAAAGAGAGGGGAATGTCATTTTCATTATGAAAAGTTCATTGAAATTTTTCATTTCAGTTCATCTATGGAAAAGTTCTGTTCCAGTCCTAAATTTAGAAATGATTGTTATGACTTCTTACATCTAGAGCTATTACGGAAAAAGATGGATGGTTGTAGTTCTTCCTGAAACCTATTCTCACTATTTCTATTTCCTGTTTTGTGCTGCTCCAGCCCAAATTTAGATTGATAAGTAAAAGTCTCTAATTCTGCCTTCTAGTGCCATTGTACACATTTTAGCTTGTTAGGCAAGTGAGTGCGAACATGATAATTGTGTCTGAAAGCATGAGGGTTTCTGTGGATTGTAGCTATCTGTGGGCAGCTTAACTTTTGAAAGCAGCTTGTCTACAAGGGGAAAAAAAAACAACCAGTTCAATTTCTGCCAGAATGAAATATGCTTCCATTGCAGCATTTGCATCTTCATCTCTGACCAAAATCATGGTAAATAGTTCAACATAGGAATGTTGTGGCTTAGCTCTCTCAAAAGACAGCAATTTGGAAGTATTTTCTCCATTTGATATTGATGACAACATCAACCACAACAGCAGCAGCAATCGACACCTAGCAAGTTGCTTTAGAGCCAAACCTGGAATTGTGGGACTGAGTTTCCCCAGTTCAGAAATTGTACTCTACAGTATAAATGTAGCTCACTCTCTTCTAAATTAATGCCACAACATACCCCTCTCAGAAATTCTTCTATGTAATAACTTGGGGAAAAATGGCTGAAGGCAGGAGGATCTTTGATGATGCTGTTTTTATCAGCCTTGTGCTTCCTGGTTCTGGGAATGGAAACAGGAAGTGTAATATAGATCAAGCTGTGATCCTAAAGAAGTGATTCTTTAGAATGGCCTTGAAGCATTCGTAAGTTCTTTTTGTCTTCCCTTCTACATTACTGGCTTATTTTTGTCATAGAATGCTCAGAACGGAGTTCCGG